TGAACGATTACGTAATTGTGGCATCTGTAATTGTAATCGCGATTAGAAATTCGATTAATTGTGCAGCCCTAAATTTTTGACATTTTAATATTTTTTTTATTTTTATTTTAGTTTTTTGTTCATTTGAGTACTTCAGCTTAAACTCTTTTTAATTTTAATTTTCGTTTTTGTTAACAATAGCAACACTGATATACAGTATGATATAAGCAACAACAAATGTTTGCAAAAAAAAAAAAAAAAAAGTTTGAATGATGAACCTATTTGAAACCGTATTCTGTGTGAATGCTCTGTAGATTGAATCTACAGGTAAACAAACACAATTAAACGCAAAAGTGTCACAAACATCTGATAGTCTGGGAAAGAGAAAAACGCTGTGAACATCTGTATGTGTTTGCTGGCATAGTTAGGGAGGTGTTTTGTCTAGCAGTGTGGTGTTCAGACACAACGTTCCTAATGAGCTGGGTACTCTCCCAGAGAGCGAACGCATGAGAGAGAAAACCACTCGTTTCACAGTTTCACTTTAAACCTCTACCTCCCCAAAAGCCAGATTTCTCAGAGAACAACACGTGTTTACCACCAATCGAACCGTATTCCTTTGGGAAGAATTATTCCCACGCGCCCAAATGCTTTTGCATACGTCTTTGAGATGCCTGTTGCAAAGAAAGTTCATACCTAGAATTGTCAGTCTTTCTAATTGAAGTTAAATGAGAGATTTCACTTTTGATCATCTCAACGTATGGACAAAACGCTCTCAAATGCAATATTGTGGACCATTTAGATCATGTTTAGTCTGACACCTGTACGGTTAAGGTTTTTGTGGTCACTGCCTGGTGAGAAATATGACAACCCGTTTGAAGACTGCAAGAGACGGAGGGAGAGAGGGAGAGCTGCGCTCTGCTAGTTTTACAGGAAGTTCCTCCCTTCCGGCTGAGGCCTGCAGCTCAGCTCAAGGGGGAGGCCATGTTCAGGTCAGAGAGAGGGTGGAGTATCGCTTGCACACACTGACAAAAAACTGGTTTGCTTTTTTGGCGTTCACACTTGCGTGGATATACAAGCTTGTCACACGAGCTTCTAAAAAAACCTGTCTCATAGTCACAGTTAAATAGCAATATTCGTCAATCAAACCTGTCTGTGGAGAACTTCACAGACGGGAACAAGCCACGCCGTGGTAGTCACCACTAGATTTCAATTTGTTTTGAAAACTCGAAAAATTCCAAAGCATGTATTTACCAATCTAATCGTCTAATCTAATGTTAAAACATTTTATGTTGATAAATTTAAATAAATGTAAAATTTAATAAATGAAATTGTAAAATGTGTATTTTTTATAATGAACTATTGGAAAAGATCAGTTGTTTGTTTTAAATATTAATGCTAATATTAATATTATTAATTATTAATAAATATTTTGTTATTTATTTTTAGACACACCATGAGGTCAAATATTAATATTAATCTCAATATTAATATTTTATATTTTTCTTAGGCTTCACACAGTGTCTAAAATGATTAATAAAATATAATTATTAATATTAACCAAAGTTATTTTTTATCAAACTTACTATTATATTTATTATTTAAATAATTTTTTGTAAGTTACTTGAATAGTTCAGTTGTTTGTTTCGAATGTTAGTACTAATATTATTATTAATATAAATTAATTAAAATTCATTTTTAATAATATTATTTTATTACTAATTTTAGACACAATGTGAAGCCTATGAAAACATTAACATCAATGTTCCTATTTTTCTTAGGCTTCACACAGTGCCTAAAAATTAATAATAAAAACAAACTATTATTATTCATTGATGTTAATATAATTTTAAATATAAATACATACATATTATAATTGATATTAATATAAAACAATCTTAGGCTTCATATTGTGCCTTACCTGTGGTAAAACCACTTTCATTCTTTTTGGCTTATTGCTTTATTTAAGCAGCATCACAGAAAGACCCTAGGAAGATGTTTACATTGCCAGCGTCACATGCATGGGAAGTTTCTGTCAGTCATGTTTGTTTGGAACGCAATTGCTTGTTTAGGAGGGAAATCCTGCAATCTGTGCCACAGGAAACACAGGACTAGACTGGGAGGGGTGGCATTATGAGGACAACGAGACAGGAGAGACGATTTAGCAACTCCATTAGCTTGTTTAGTAGGTTAATTGTGTGTAATGTGGCAAGAAGTGAACGTTCGTGTGGGTGTTCAACCCTTCGAAATACATTTCCTTTGTCATCCCTCAAGCGGGCAACAAAAAACCTTCTAGCAAAAACCTTTCTTCCATTCTCACACCAACGTGCAAGGCAGAATGTGTGTGTGTGTGTGTGTGTGTGTGTGTGTCACCCCGCCCTTCCTCAGACACCTGCAGTTTTAAACCGCTTTGCAGAAACTTGTCCATCCTGTGTACTCCTGTTTTTACTGTGCATGTGTCTTATTTAGTCAATTTGAAGACATCTATGCACTGTCTTCTAGTGCCAGAATTACTATGACGAAAGCAAGGTGTGAGATTCCTCAGAAAGACAAAAAGAGATAATGTATTTGTGCATTTTTCAGAGCTGAGCTCGCATCTAAGTATGTCTCTCGCATGCTGCTGCGTCCTGCTTCTTATCATAAGGTGTGATTTCCTGTCTGCATGTCTCACAGTGCTTTGGATGTCTGTCTACAGCATCCTTTCTGTCACACAACACACACACACACACACACACACTAAGATACTGCATGGGTTGGTGCCATTTTCGTACCCGTAAGCACATTTTTTGATATGAGAATGGAAGCTGGGGACCAGTTTAAAAGGGGGGTATTAAACGGGGCCCCTTTGCTGCCCATCAGGTGAAAGAAAGAGGATGCAATGACTGTGGAAATGACAGACTGATAGACAGAGACTCTAAAATACAAAGTAGAAGATAGAAGTAGAAGTATTATTTAAAGATCTCTGTCTTTCCTCGGGCCATGTCTCAAATGCAGCTCTTCTTCAACTGCTCACTTTAGTGGCTGTCAGGTAGTAATCCGATATTAAATCCGCATCTTGGCTTCTCTATATTTTGTCTGTCTGGCTTTATCTTTATATAGTCTTTATATACTGATATATTTATCTGAGTGATGTAACCCCACAGGCTGTCCAGTCAATGTCAGAGTTCTGGTGTGGGCTGATGTGTTATAGAGGGACCTCGAAGGGTCCAACTGGAAGACCCAGACTAAGGGAGAGCTACAAGGATGTTATTTATAGGTCATTTCCTCTCTCCTGCAGTGTGGCCTGACTATGGTCATCTGACTGTCTGCAGTTAGCATGGTCTTATAAGGATGCTCACTAGAGTCTAGAATACTGCAAGTGCATTGATTACAAATATATAATGTTGTGATGCCTAAATTCACTTGTTTGTCTATTCACTTGCATTTAAAAAAAATAATTTTTTCACACATATTATGTAAACAAAAACTTTTATTTTGGATGCGATTAATCGTTTGACAGCACTAATATATATATATAGAGAGAGAGAGAGATAAACTGAACTGTTTTACTACAAGTGAGCTAATTAATTTTTTTATAATGTATATATTTTTTATTTTATATAAGTGTGTGTATAAAAAGTTAAGTTATAGTTATATTCTACAAAAAGTTAATAATAGTTATATATATAGTCTAAATAAGTTAAATATTCCATCCTCTGACTAATGCAAATCGGGTCTAGTGGCTCTTATGCTTTTCTATCCAGATCTCATTCTCCATCTTTTTCTAGTATGAGTTTTTTGCCAAAACCTAGCCCAGATCAGGGAAGATCTCCCAGATTTGGTGCCATTATGTCAGAGGTCTAATCCACGAATAAATACAGGCACGTGGAAAGTGACTGTTTTCGGGGTCATATAATCATGCTCTGCTGCTGGAAATTCACCACGCCCAAGCAGATCGGCCTGCCGAATGAGGTCATACGTGATGCAATCATTCATGTATGCAAACAGCACCGGCCCATCACCGTGTTCTTTTGCGTGAATGACCCTCTTTTCACTCTGAAAGTAATTGACTCCCCCACTGTGTTTATTCAAAAACAAAACATTTTGCATCTCTGACTGGAAAAAAAGAGACTTTAACATGAAGCTCTCTCAGCGTATGATTACATACTAACTCTGTCAGACCTTCCAGACACACCGTGCAACCCAGTTGGAAGCATCTTACCAGAAGCCCCTGCTGCCGGGCCAGTTAGGGCACTAGGCCGGGACGCTGCAGTTTGTCAGCTGGGTTTCTCTCACATTCCCACGAGAAGCCCTGCTCGAAAATAGCTCTCGCAAAGTTGGCGCAGATTTACAGCCGGAGGCTGATACCGCTTGTCCAGTCATTGTGCATTATTTTAGCATTTAAACGTCTGCGGTTTGTGATAATAAGCGAGAAATGTGTGGGCGGTGCACACTGCAGGTTTTCTGGAGTAAATGAGAGTGTAGAAAAGGAAGGTCAGTGTATTTTAGGGATTATACTGCAGTCAGTGAGGAATTCAGCAGGAGTGAGGTCATTAGTGACAGAACTAAACAAATACTGCCTTGACGTACATTTGCACTCGCGTATTCACGTGGCAACATGATAGCAGATGGTTCTGTCAACCTATTAAGCATCTGAACAATACATCCGACCTTTTCCTTCCGGCATACACACGCAGTCTCACATAGTGTCAACACACGTACTAAATTTAACGTTCAGTTTTAGTCCTCAGATACGTTCCCTTTGCACCTGTCTCCTGCAGTTCACAGCTCTGTCTGAAGTGATAGACACCCTCTATCGCGGCTCTCATTTAATGTGACCGACTGCTTGCATCAATCCTGCTATTACTGTACTGTAGTTTACCGAGGGCATCTGAACGCCTGACATAGACGGTACGATGTGCACTGAATCGAACGCAAATGCGTGAAATGTAGCAAATCAGAATGATGATGACTTCATTTTTCTTCATATTGAGCAATGCTCATCGTTTCTCTCTCTTTTTGGCTTTCTTTTCTTCCCTCTCTAGGCGTCTGATCCCATTCCTGCCAAGAAGTCCAAACACGATGACTTTCCAGCACAGTTGCCCTCAAGAGACAAAGACAAGCAACCCGATTGGCTACGATCCCTCTCTGCATCAGCCAATAAGGTTACAAAGCTTATTTTTTTTGCTGGTGGATACATGTGATTAGTTGTGTGAAAGTACAGAGTTCAGATAATTATATATTTATCTGTGTATTAATATTGTACAAGTCTGTTTACGAAACTTGGCCGTTCCTAAGAAGATGTTTGGAGCCAAGCAACTGTTTTCTTGCCACAGAGAATCAGATTCTTCTGAAACAAGATCTCAACCCAAAATAACTGAGGATGTTCTTTTGAAAAAAAATCAATTCTCCTAAAATGAAGAGAGCCTGCAAATAGGCTCGCAGAGTTCTCCGATTTCAAGCAGACACGGTGACCTCGGTGTACTTGTACTGCTGGTCATTCTTCAAGCTTGTTTTATCTGTCTCTCTCACTTTTAAATGTTAAATTCAAGAGAATTTCAGCAAGCAAAAAAATAAATAAAAATTTTCATGCTCTCTGTGCAGATGGTCTCCGTTCTCTGTGTTCATGTTCAAATGCATTATGATTGTGTCCTCAACTGTGAAAAACTTGCATGTAACACAATAGGCGTCTTTTAACATCTCTCTGTCTTGCTGCAGGGGCTCAACTGCATCCAGCCCAGACAGAGACCGTCTGCCTTCAGGCCATGGTCTCCAAACATCTCTGTTGGTGATAAGGAGGGAGGCGGCAGGCCTGCTAGCATGTTACGTGACAGGTAAACAATAAGAATAAATATTATATGGCACTCTGAAATACTTGATTCTGATTGGCCAATACTCACATCATATTAGCATATAATAGTTATTTATTTAACATAATTTAAATGGTGTTCATTTTCTGATAATATACCACAACCTGCAGTTAGAAGTCAAATCTACATCACCATCATTTCATTGTGCAATCATCATTTTATTAAAAAGATGATCTAGTGCACAAAGATTGTAAAAGTAACCTTAAGAAAGGGTGTGCATATGTTCATTAGTGTGAAACCAGCATGTTAGTCATGCTCAGCTGCGGTTTTTCTAAAGCAAATCAGCATAAGGTTTGGATCTTCTCTACAGAGGAACATGATGCAAGCCCGTTGGCCATTGTTTGTTTAGATATATGTGGTTTTAACTTTACCATCATAACTAGAGGGGGTTTGGATGAGTCATGCGTCAAGCCCAGAAACCGCTCGCAACAGTCGTTGTTCTCTCCCCACCCTTCGTTTGTGGGTTGCAGAGATGCTTTTTCCTGTCAGCCTGCCATTTGGTTGGGATTATTCATTACTAAATCACCCGTACTCTTTAAGGTGATGTTAGGTAATGCCGTTACACAAGCAGCAGCCAGTAGTGCATCATTTGTCAAGTCAACTTGTGGCACTCCATATTTTACTGGTGATAATTGAGATGACTCCCCATTTAAATAAACAAACATTTAAACTGTTACTAAAAATTAGCATCACTGCATATACGTGGTCTGCTCACTCACTCCATATCCTCTTCTGCAGCTTCTACAACTACAAGAGCCTGGAGAGCGCCGTGGCCCCCAATGTAGCTCTGACACCCCTCCAGAAAGGAGGGCAGGCCTCTCCTACCGCCCCGAGCAGTTCACACCCGCATGGGGCGGAAAGTGAAGGTGCCAGCCGCGGGAGGAAGAGGAGGCTGACGGGTGAGACCCACCCCAGCCCACAGCCCTGCCCCTCGGCTACTGCCAGCAAGCCCCTGCCGCCCTCTCAGGAGGAGCGAGACTCGGACGTGGAGGTGGAGGTGGAAGTGGAGAGCCGTGAGGAATGTGAGTACACGACGCACCTTTTCACTGTCACTCCACCTCATTAAAGGAATGTTCCAGGTTCAAAGCATGTTAAGCTTTACTGACAGCAGAAAATTAGGTTAGACTTTCATGCTGTGATACCTACCTTTGAGCAATGGTGACAGTTGATACAGTTGTTACTTTTATTTAGCAAGACTGCACTGAAAAGATCAAAAGTGATTTTTACATGTCTATTTCAAATGAAGCACAACTTTTTTTCAAGATTAATCATAATAAGAAGAAATGTTTCTTGAGCACCAAATCAGCATATTAGAATGATTTCTGAAGGATCATGTGACACTAAAGACTGAAGTAATGGCTAATGAAAATCCACAGGAATAAATGACCTCATTTAAAACTGTTTTTATATAAATAACAGTACATGATTTATACAAATAAACGCAATGTGTAGTATCACAGAAAATAATTTAGACTTTGGAAAATGATCAGAAATAGTTTTACAGTAATGCTATCACAATTGAATTCTATGGCGCAAAATACACACTGTTTAGACCGTAAAACCACAAGTCTTAACATTGTATGTGTTACATTGTAATGAAGGAATGCTACATTCCTTTAACATATTTGAAGAGCAATTTGGGTTAATAGTGTTTTAACTGTGACCCTCGATTTTGTCGCTGCGTTGTGAAACAAAAGTGCTCGTTTAAATACATTAAGATTTCGTTCACACTTCATTTGCACACAGTTCATTTTCAGTCAACCTTGAGCGCTCTGGAGAGAGGTGGATTAGAACGGTAACAGCTCGTGTGTGAATGCGGCAGAAAATCAATGAGGGTTCTTTCGTTTCCTCATCCTTTACGGCTCATTTTAAAGCACATCTTGTGTGTTTGACAGCTGCTTGATAAAACTGGCTGACATATGAACCAGTGAAGCCCACGTAGTCTGATCCACCACTTAATTATGTCTCTTCTCTATCTTGTTTTTTTTTTTCAGTCACCTCATCGCTTTCCTCACTCTCCTCCCCATCTTTTACATCCTCGAGCTCTGCTAAGGACTTGAACTCTCCCTCCGGCCCCGGAGCCACCTTACCAGCAGTTCTGATGCCAGCCAGCGGGCCCCCTGAGAGTCCCCTGGTGTCCGGAGGGGAGGGACATGCCATGACGAACCTGGAGTCGGAGCTGGAGACGCTGAGGCAGGCACTTGACAATGGCCTGGACTCAAAAGAGTCGAAGGAAAAGTTTCTACATGAGATAGTGAAGATGAGGGTAAAACAGGAAGAGAAGCTGGGATCCGCCTTACAGGCCAAACGGAGCCTCCAGCAGGTACACACACACACAGACACTGACACTGATTCATGAAACATGATTAAAAAAAAAAAACTTTTATAAATCCATTCTTACGTAAATCGTTGAATTTAATTAACAATTAATGTAAGAATGGGTTTACACAACAGCACACTGGAGGTTTCATTTCATCTTTGCGATGAAGAATCATACATGTGATGTTGAACTTTCACTGAATATATTTATAAAGCCATATATTAACTATATAGAATTTTCAAAAATATTCTGTTTATATATAATAATTTATAAGTTCTTTATTATAATATATTCATTACTTTTATTACTTTATTATAAGATATATTAATTATTATTTATTTTATCAACAGCATTGGGACCATACTGTTTTCAGGGGAGCCCATGTCTTATTAAGGGGAGCCAAGCTCCCCCTAGCTCCCCCGTAGTTCGCACCCTGTTCATACATTCACTGTTACCAAGATAAGCATTTAAAGATCTGGACTAGTAACCGAAAGGTGTGATTCAGAACTATTATGCCTTTGAGCAAGACACTAAACCACAGATTGTTCCCAGAGTGACTGTCCCTGTGCTATAAATGTCCTGGAAGTGGCTTAGGACAAACAAGTGTCTGTTTAATGAAGAGTAATCTAAGGAATGCTTGGATTTATGTAACATGACACCCCACCCACACACATTTTCAGATGAACTCTCAGACTGGGTGTGGCCTCGCAAGTCTGATGAGATACGTTTCATTTCTCAGAAGGAAACAGAGTAACTTCCTGTTAGAGTTGTGTGTTTCAGACTAAACAAAAGAGAGACATCACTAAGATGTTTGCCTGGCTGTGTTTGTGTATTTGTATGTCAGTGTTTAACTACAACTTTTTGAAAAAGTTGTTAGCTACACTACAAGCTACTAGCAGAACTTTACTACATTGATGCTATTTAGATCTAAAACTATCAATATCAGATAATATAAGTTATTTTTACAAGTAGAACAATGTTGCACAAAAACAAAGAGGTTCTCAGTTAAGGTGACAGCATTAAACTTAAAAATGTAAAAAAAAAAAAAATTTTTTTTAAATATATATAACTAATATTAAAATGCAGGATATTCTGCAAAGGAACTAATTATTACAATAACCATCTAAAATAAATCTATTAAAAATGTTAACATAAATCTTAAAATATAAGTAAATATTAGATGAAAAACTTTAACAAAAAACAGATATAAGCAGAAGTGCAAAGGTTACTAAAACTGAAATAATAAAATAAATAAAGCTAAAATGAAGCTAATTCAAAATTAAAAAAAATAATTAAAATGTCAAAAGCATATAAAATGACTAAAACGAATGCTTAAATTAAAAAGAAAAAGGTCAAATTTAAAATAAAAGCTCAATTAAAATATAATTAAATTATATATATTTATACATTTTTGTATTACTTGTATTCTATATATATATATGCTTATATATATATATATATATATATTAGCATTTTGTAAATATATATACATATAATACAAAAAAATTGTATAATTCACTAAAATGAATCTATTCAATGATGGAATACATATTAAAATACCGTGTAAGCTACATGTGGAATACAGTGTAACTAAAGACAGCGCTGTAGCATTTTGTCAAACTACATGATTTGCTGCTAATTTGTGGCAACTTTATTCATTTTTTATCATCTTTATATGATATATTTTCAGATTGAAGACCTGCAAGTAAAGTTGCAACATGCCGAGGCAGACCGAGAGCAGCTGAGAGCCGATCTGATGCAAGAGCGGGAGGCAAGGGAGCACCTGGAGAGAGTGGTCAAGGAGCTACAGGAACAGCTGTGGCCCAAAAGCCCCAGCAAGAACGGCACAGACGCACCACCCCCACCCGCCAAAGACTCCAACTAATCCTCTATCTCTTGACTCCACCCAATCCACATCAACACCGCCCTGATTGACAGCACCAACCGCCCAATCATGTCAACTAGCATGCGGGTGAGCCCCGCCCACCTGCCTCTTAGCCAGCGCAAACCCAGAGGTATCCTGAATGTTTTTTGATGGACTTCAGACACATTTTCGAAAAAGTTTTACTTCGAGAGCACTGAAATGCACCTCGCCTCCAACAAGATGTAAAAAAAAAAAAAAGGAAGAAGAAAAAAGCAAAAGTTCAATCGGAAAGGAAGAAGCCAATAGCACAAAAGCTAACTGTGCCTGAAACTGAATACATTTTGAAATGAAGACTTTTCTATGACAAACAAATTGGTGATAATGACGCAAAATTTTACCCAGCAATTTTTAAGCATGCTGTCCGCCCCACGTTGTTATCGAAGAGACAAGGACTCATCATCATCCCATCAGAAATTCCTGTTTCCTTTTTCCTCTCTCTTTCGTTTTGAGGAACTAAGATGAAAATCACTTTGTAATAAGCTATTTAAGAGACTTGTTAGTGAGCGTGGATGAGATAAAAAAAAACTTCAGCGACTTATCAGAGCCTCAAATTTCCCCCCTTTTACATGTACATACATGTCATGCTGGTTAAAAGAAGCCATGGAGACAAATGGTTACACACACTTGTATCTTTAACAATGGTAAAGAGATACTGGTCAGTAGAGCGTTGAAGGGCTTTGGAGAGCTAGAGGTGGAGAAGCTCAGCCCTGTTGAAAGGGAGAGATATTTGTATTCAAGTAAGTGTTATGATCAAGCCAGAGCACTTTCTTTTAATGGCAAACAAATGCTCCCCTCACAAGCTGCCGTGTGATACGCCACGAGTGCGTTCGAGGGTCAAAACCTGTCGGTGGATCTTAAGATCGTGGTCATTGTGGAATCGGAGGTTTGTGGCTCCTGCTCTCACTGAGGGTTTGGGTTTTCTTCTCATCACACACGTGTACAGCTTCTCCGTGGGCTGAGGTGCTGACAACCGGCCCGGCTCACAAACGTGGGCGGCCATTTTTGGGAATAAACTAAAAGCATAAAAAATACAGCTTCTAGGGCAGGAGGTGTCATGTGATCAAGAACCACAAATTGTTCGTTTTAAGTAAATTATAATATGTAAATATGAAAATGTTTCTTTTTTTTTCTTTTCGCTTAGTTTTTTTTTTTACTTTACAATAATGAATCGCACTTTGTCATTACAAAATACTGTCTAAATGCATTACGCTCCCACACTCTCCCACACATTTATCTCAGAGAGTTTTTAGTATTCCGAAGTATAAAATTGAAATAAACATTTTGTTAATTATATGCAGTTCTAATAAATGCAATGTAATCATGTTTAAGACAAACTATTGTAAATAAAACCGCAAGAATTAAAAAAAAAAAAAGGTTCTACATGCTTGCTTGCTGAATGTGGACGGCGCACGCAGCCGTTCCCTCAATCTGACTTTAATTCAACATTTATCATAGTTATCGATATATGATTATAATCGTTGCTAAAGTGTTATTGTTACTGTCCTGGATTCCCACGGGTTTTGAATGGTTCCGAATCCAATTTAGAAACCGTTCAGAATGAATAGGACACACAAATTGTCATGCATTGGTAAAAGGGAGTCTAAATATCAATGCAGGTGCTCCTCTCGGCTGTGAGCAAGAGCGTATTACTGTGTAAAAAAAACGAGACGAGGATGGATAAACGAACGAAAGAAAGTTTAGATGGTTTAATAAATGCATCTTTAAATGCTCACACACTTAGCTGAGATAGGTTTTGTTGAAAATACATATATTTTATAAGTGATTTATATACATTGGGTACAATGCAATCAGAATGTATGTTACGTTTTGGCTCTTTTCATTTTGTTGTTGTTGTTGTTATTACGGATGTTTTTTCAGATTGTGTGAATATTTTATTGCTCATGTTCCTTCTTTCAATAGCAAGCTTATGTAATTTTTTTCATATGCATGGAATTTAAAAGAAAAAGATTAAGTCTGCCATTCATATATTCATTATTGGGCATTAAAACTGTATATGTACGTTTTTTATTGTGTTATGCAATATAAAGCAATTTTAATCTTGTTTTTAACTACAAAGGAAAACAAAACCCTCTTAACAATAAATTTCAGCTCTTAACAATCTTAAACGCAACATTAACGGCACTACTCTTGGGCTAAATACAAACCCTATGTGCATATGCAATGCTGGAGACCCTCAAGTGCCTGTCTTTGGGCCCTTGGGGTTCCAGAAGAGGAACAATTATCGAGCCCGTTTCCACGGTGGCTGACTGTAAGGCGCATTGAACTGCTTCAGACAGCGGTCAGACGGTGAGAGCGGGACGTCCCATTTGCACTGTCATTTGGGGGAGCCTCTTTGGCTTGCCCCATTTTGCCAGAATGAACTTGACTATCATTGCTTAAGAGCAAGCCGCAGCTTATTTGATAGGTTTTAATGCCAGTTTTCCTTTGTTGTTGTTTTTTTTCTTCTTCTTCAAAAATCGATGAATAATTAAATAAAAGAAAAATGCATAGCAGAGTTTAATGCTCCAATTGCCACTGGTAAAGAACAATTTAAATCTTATAGTAAGATAGCTTTTAAATGTACGTCGGAATAAATAAACTCTTTTCTTTCTCAGTTTTTAAGGAATAAAACATATATTTAAGAGGTTACTTTTGCTATAGATGTAAAAAGAGCCTTTGAAACGATATGAAACATTGCCCTGACCTGTACATTGCAGGCTACGGGGAAGATACTAAACGGGGGTCTAAAGAAAGCTCAGTGTCTTAACAGTAGCAAGAGGCTGTGCGTTTTTACAGACCAAAAAAATGAATTAAAAAAAAAAAAAAAATCCGATGAGGTTTTGTAATTGTTTTTACACGCAAATTGATTGTTTACTTTGTTCGCGGTTTTCTATGAAAAAGGGAGAAATTGATCACAGAGGCTCCTTTGCTCCCAATATAATACTAAAAATGTGGATTTTTTTCTAAAAGAGCCATTTTTTTGCTAACAAAAAAAGATCTAAAATAGCAATAACGACATAGCATCACTGATAAATGAGCAGGATTAGCCAGTCTGATGATGAAAGTACAAATTCACCAATGTATATAGCTGTTTTCTTTTCATTTTACAAAAATTGTATCATAAATGTATATTGTGTTTCTTTCTCTTTTTTTTCAGAATGAGAAAAAAAACCTTACATAATAGTTGTTATATTTTATGTTGTGTTTTTAAAAACAAAAAGAGAGAAAATGTTTTCAAAACTATTATTTCAAAGGTTGTATTCCCAATGCAAGCATATTCAGTCCTTTATTCTGCTTTTTTCCCTTTTTTTGTGCTACAAAGAATAATAGTATGTTCAGTAAAATCGTTATGGTAAATGCCTTTTTTCTGTTATCAATGTTTTGTTACGTTCAGCTAAATATCACATACATCAGTTCTGGTTGAATCAGACATTCAGATTCTTATTTTAACAATCTGTTCTCCTTTTTTCATGCCGATATATCTTCTTAGCCCTTCACTGCTGCTATAACAATATACTATAAACTTTGCAACTCTTGAAATTATTTTTATGTAAGAGATTAATGTGTGCTTTCTTCTTCTACTGATGCCGCTTATACACTTGGATCTGGCCAATTTCTCCCTCTTAGACGTCCCTTTCCCCCTCACATGGACTATAATGTAAGATAGAGAGCTCTATGAGATTAGAGTTGAAAGTAGTTCGGCTTATATACTGCAGTGTCAGGATGTACAGTGTATAGACCCATAATCAAAAATAAAGTTGTTTGTCCAGAAATCTTTTGTTCTGTTTGTTATTTCGGTCTCGGTGGAACAGCATCTTTATTTCTTTTCCTTTGAAATAACTAACCTTTTCACTGCACCTTCACTTAGAAGTGTCTCTAGACATACCTTAATTTAATGTTATAAATTCAGGAGAAACATTCTTTCTGCTGCACGCAATGTTTTGATCCTTCAAAGAAAATTTGTTTACCTGTTCCCATTTTTTTTTCTTCTGTCTTGTTGCTCCTGCTTTACAGGTGAATTGAAGATCTAAGGCAGCGCTCTTGTCATTGACTGTAAGAGTGGCAATGAATCAGATCTATGAAGCTTGCTGATTAATAATTCAGGAAGCACCTTTGTAGTACATTGTCTGCCTTTAAGATGAGCTACTAAGGCTGAATAGAGAAATAGAAAATTCCTTTCCTTTTATCTAAATGTAGAAAAAAATCACTAAAGCTTTTTTTTTTATATCCAGACTTTTCATATTTGAATGTTCAAAATATGCTAATTATACATACTTATGCATAATTAATCATTAATATGTTTAATATTAATGATTTTGAATGAAAATATTGCAGAAAATCTTTTTAAGAAAAACATTTTGATTGATCGTCATCAATAATGATGATGATGATGATGATGATGGTGATGCACTAAAAAAATGCTGTAAAGCAATTTCCAATCAGAAATTGCTAGTAAATTTCACAAACGATTGCAAGAAATGTTAAGTAACACACTGACCTAAATGTGAAATTTTGAAGTAGAAAAACTGAAATAGTATTTTGTAAAAAAAATGCTCCAAAAATATTTAATTTACAACTTTGAAAAATATTTTTTCACTTATTTTTCACATAATAAAGTTTATTAATATTATTATTATTATTTTTGTATTCCTATTCAAATGTAACACACATAAAATGTGACCAATTAGTTAATATATCATTAATCATTAATTAATAATTAATATGTTTAATATAATGAAATCATTTTCCATGAAAATAGTTGTAAAATATTGCAGAAAATTAACATTTTTAATTAATCTAAAATAATTGATGGCCATAAAACAGACACACAAGAATTATTACTAGAAGAACAAAAACAGTAAACTGAAAACAAAATGGTGTAGAAACAATTTTCACTCAGAAATTTCACAAACAATTCAGAAATTGTATAGAACACATTGAATTAAACAAGAAATTTTTTA